CATACACACACTACACACACTGCCCCACAAACACTGCCCCCCATACACACACTACACACACTGCACGCCCATACACACACTGGCCCCATACACACACTACATACACTGACCCCATACACACACTGCACACCCATACACACAGTGACCCACAAACACTGCACCCTTACACAAAATACACACACTGCCCCACAAACACTGCCCCCATACACACACTGCCCCAAACACACACACACACTGCCAATTTTTCATATACACTGCACTGCCACATACACACACATTACCTTGTAGCTCTTCTACACACACTGCTCCACATACACTGCCCCCTAACACACACACTGCAACCCTGAGATACACTGCCGCCCTCACGCACTCACACACACACTTCACTGCTCACACACACTCACACACACACTGCACCTTTCACACACACTTCACCCCTAACACATACCACTGCTCCTATGCCCTATATCCCAGCAGACCCCAGGTAAGTTGTCAAACTGTTCTTAAACGATTTGACTACTTACTCTGGGATGGGATCCTGGCACTACTGGCACCATAACTACTTCACTGAGCTGTAGTGGTTATTGTGCCTGGATTATTTCTTTAAATAATCTACAAGTGTCCCTCCCGAGATCAGGCTCTGGATCTGCCACTGCCTTTAAGTGGCAGTGGCAGTGGCAGAAAACTAACTCAAAATAGATTCACTAATTAGTCCTGATTGTTAAAAAGTAAAAATATTTTAATACATTTTTAGAAGTTATGAAATAAATATTGCAGCGAGTGAATTGTGGTTTTAAAGCTAAAACCTTGACAAATTTGCCATTCTGATTACAGCTTTTATAGCATTCACACAGGGTTACTAACTAAAGTGAGAATTTAAAGTGAATTTCACATTTAAAGCCAGAGTAGCAAGCTGAAAGCAAACCTTAATTAGATAATTTTTCCATTTCAGCTATTTTGACCTTAAAGGGGAACTATTGTGCCAGGAAAACAAAGTTGTCTCCCCTCTGCATTGTACTGAAGTTGTACAGAGGTTAAAAAAAAACCTTCTGTCACTTACCTGTTTCCCTGAGTGCTGGTTCAGGCTCTGCCTCTGATCCTCCCCACCAACATAAGCCAGCGGGGTGGACCTAATGCGTATGCACGGCAATCGCCACACTTGTATTCGGACCTCCCCCATAGGACGGTATTGTATAATGGTTGTCCTAATGCATGAGGATGTGAGGACTTCCATCAGTTAGGTGACCAAAAGATGGAGTTAACCATGGCAGGTAATTATTTCAGTTTATTAGAAACTGTAATAATTACCACTGCAGGGTTATGGGACCTGGGACACTGCACCTAGACCACTTCTATAAGCTGAAGTGGTCTGAGTGCAGGGCTCGAGTCCTGCAGGAACGCATAGGAAAGGTGTTCCTGCACTTTTTCCAAAGCAGGAACGCCGTTCCTGTTACCAGTCCTGCAGGACCGGCCCTGCTACCTGCACAGAGGGGCTAGCACACGCTGTGTTCCCTCTCCAGCTATAACTCTCGCGAGACCCGTGGCTGTTACCATGGCAATGCTCCGCACAGGCGAGTCTCGCGAGAGTTAGAGCTGGAGAGGGAACAGAGCGTGTGATGGCCCCTGTGTGCAGCGGCTGGCTCCCTCCACTGGACCACCAGGTGATCTCCCCCCTCCCTGACAAGGTAAGAAGCAGGGAGGGGGGAATAAAATAAAAAAACACATAAAGTAAGAAAAAAATGCTTCCCCCCCCAACACATCATCCAGCACTCACACACACATCATCCAGCACACGCACTCACACACACACACACACCCACATCATCCAGCACTCACACACACACACATCATCCAGCACTCACACACACATCATCCAGCACACACACACACACATCAACCAGCACACACACACATCATCCAGCACACACACACATCATCCAGCACTCACACACACATCATCCAGCACACACACACACATCATCCAGCACACACACACATCATCCAGCACTCACACACACATCATCCAGCACACACACACACAATCATCCAGCACTCACACACACATAATCCAGCACACACACACACACCATCCAGCACTCACAC